CTGTTAGCCGAGCGAACGATCGTGAGAGCGTTTATTATTTCACCGGGGTCGCAGGGGCTGGGTGTATCGCGTGCACGCGCGCACCCGTTCCAGCCGCTGCAATTCCCGACCATTACCTCGGGGCGAGAATAGATTCGACCGTGGATTTCGGAACCGTTAACGATACATACACGATAATTTCTCTCTTTAAATCCAGCCTATCTTCGTCGAGGAGCTCCCTAAATCCTCCCTAAATCGTCCCTAAATCGTTCCCCTAGGTATCCGAAATAGGTATCTGCACGCGTTCCAGAGATTTCCCTTTAATCCTTGGAAAAGTCACAGTTCCGGACAGCTTGGTTTCTAGTATACGCGCCCAAGGAACGATCCGACAGCTACGCAAGTTACCGGGTCGAGGCCAACTTTGCCACAAGTCTGTCCGAGTTGTTACGCTCCGTAGATCTCTGCGCGATTTTCACAGCGAGGAACGATCGGGCGGAACTCGGGATAGTCTTTGTGACGTAACGCGAAAGGCGACCCGAAACACGTAAAACGGCGCGGTCGCGTAATCCGCGATTACGATCGCGGTACTTTCGATAATTGCGAGTCGTGCTTGGATTCCCTTGCCGGCCGTCCGCGGCGCCACGCGCGTGCCTGGGCCCCGCGTTAGGGGTTAATCGTTGATACGTCTTTCAATCACACGATTCCGTAATTACCCAGGTAATGGCCTACCGCTCTCGCGGTTTAATCGAATCCGTACTAATTAATGACGAGCTAATAATTACAAGAATACCCGTGCTGCATCGTGACCGTGTTACGGCCCGGTAATCTCACCGTGCTTCCTTGCCTCGCGAGCTACATTATGGGAATTACGTCGGCTCGTAATACACGCTTTTACCGGAATACCCGGTGCGCGCGCGAGGTACCCGAGCACACGCCTCGCGCTCTCCTGTCCGCGATCCTAAACGAGTTTACGATTAAAGAATCTCGCGCGACGTCTGGATCGAGCAACAGGGCCCGGGGCCTGGGACGGGCCGGAAAGTTACGTCGCGAATTTCGACACCGGGGAGGAACGGGCGCGGCTGGATAACGGCTAATCTTCCCTGAGCCCTCGTGCCCGTTCTCGACGTTGGTTATCGCGACTGTGTTTGCTTCGCTATGACGTTTAACAGTATCGACCCACGCGTGACTCGCTTCCGGTTTGCCGCCGCTCCCTTGGTCGCGCTCGATCCGATCGCGACTCGTCTTCCCGCCGTTTCAAAGTCGCGACGCCGGTCGCAGGTGCTACGCACGCCACGGTACCCCGGGGCCGCACGTGAACCTGCTTAAGAGGTTCTTACCAGGTCTCGCGATACACCGATTTAAGCTACTTTGATTCGATTGGGCAGCGTACAGAGGGGCGTTGATACTCGGCCGCCGAGTCGCTCTCTCTCGCAAACGCGCCGCTCCGCCGCGATGCCGTTTTCACCGGCAGCCGGCAATTTGCCGTAATTATTATGTTTATCTTTCTCATTCACTTAACTCGATGCACCGACTCGCGGCGGCCGGTCCCCCGGTTGCATTCGATTTTTACCCGAACCATTTCGTGCCGGCGTCCTGCCTGCCAGAGCTGACACCGCCACGCGTCGACCATTACCTTCCGGAGGCGGTGCGCCCGATCCACTTTGTCAAACTCGATTTGCGTGATTCCCCTCGCGTTTGCCCACCGATGATCCACGGTCCTGGCAATTAGTCAAACCGGCAGAGGGAAGCAATCGGATGATACCCTCGGATAGCGTTTGTCGGAACGAAAAGTCGCGGATGTCGCGGGATTCTTGCAAGTTGAGGCCAATTTCGAAACCTCGACATCGCGCAGGTATGCATCCACGGCGTTATGGAATTTTTCAAACGCTCGTCCACGACGATTCGCTCGGTCAAACTCGATTCGCGACGTTTCGTCGGAGGGTTGTAGAGTCGTCGTCGGCGTCGTCGTCGTCGCGTTGGATAATTTGGACCAATTTTTGGGACCGCGAAGGTAGGAGGAACGAAGGAAACGAGGAAGCTGACGCGGTACTTCCGGTATGGCCTCGCGCGACCATCGGCTCGCGGCGTGTTCTCGGGAAGCACGTAATCGCGAGGTTACTCGGGAAGGTTAGTCAGCGGCTGAGATACCGGAAGGTTCGATCGGAGCAATTGAAAATTCTCGCGTTCGAGATCGGTAACCGCTTCCTCTCTCCGGAGACCGGCATTCCGACGCGTCATCGCGCAGTGGAGCCCAGAACTCGCGGAAAGACGGTCGTCGGTGTGTATATACACTGGCGTGCACGTGTTAGGGAATTGTTTCGGTGTCTCGGTGCACCGGCATGGCAAGAGGAACGTGGTCCGCTCGCGAATCCGCTCGACCGCCGCGGAGTTAGCTCGGACGGATTGTTCCGTGCACCGGAGGTTCGTGGAAAAGCGTAAAGAGCGTGTGTCTCGAGGAGGAAGCGGGAAGGAGAGTGCGAGAAAGAGGTGGTGGAAGAAGAGGGAGAAACGGCGAACGAGCGGAAGGAGGAGGGTAAAGAAGGTTGGCGAAGAAGAGGTGGCTAGAGGAGGAGAGGAGAGGGCTGGAGAAGCAAGTAGAAGAAGAAGAAGAAGTTAAGATGGTCCAGCGCGGGCAGCATCGGCACCGCAGCCGGAGGTGATGACCTGCTCAAGGCCACCCGCTCCCAACCTCTTAGACCGGAGAGGAGAACCACTCTTCTTATTTCTCGTTGCTCTCTTTTCTCTCTTTCCACTTCTTCCAGCCCTCCCTCCTGCCTTCCGACTCCCTCTCGCTCGCTCCCTTTCCTGGCAAGCCTGTCCTCTTCCTGTTCGCGGCTCCTCCGTTCCTTCTCTCTCTCTCTCTCTCTCTCTCTCTCTCTCTCTCTCTCGCGCGCGCGCGCGTTTCTCTCCCTTTCTCCGATCCTCGGTTGCTGCCTGGGTTCCCTCGGTCGGAACCCGGCGATGTCAACTTCCCGCCGGGCCTTTCGTCGAGCTCCTCTTCCCGTTCGATCGCCATTGAAAAATGTCCCCCGAAAAATCCTCGCCTCGCGGACCTTCCAACCGCGACCTCGCGGCGGCGCTCGAGTCGGCCGGAGGAACGCGCGTGATTCCCACTTTTTCGAAATCCTATCGCGCGCGAATAGCTTCCTCGACCGCGACTAAACTGTCCGTAAAATTGAAACGGACATGGAATTTTAACGGTCGATCAAGCCGCGCGTTTGCGTTCCTCGCGGCTCCCGAGCGTGCATCGCGATGGCCGCGGCGAGAGAGAGCTTTTACGACGCGCGGCGACCGCTCGTAAAGCGGCCGATATCGCTCTGCTTAAAATCCGCTCGCGAAGCGAAAACGTTGCTCGTGGGCGGACTCCGAACCACGAAGAAGCATCGACGTCGCCGTCGCTAATTCGGTTGCTCGATTCTTCTTCCACGCCTCAAGGACGAACGGAAGTATCCGCTCGTCCTACGAGCCTTTTTGCTCCGCCGCTCTTACTTGGCGATTAAAACCCGTCCGCGGCGTTACCTTCCCGTAATAACTAACGAGAGCGAGATACATGACCGGTAAAACGGTCGTAAAACAGGATAGAGATCGCGGGGGAAAGAAAGAAAATGGCGAAAGTGGGAACAACGACCGACTCTCTTAGCCGAAATCGCGGAGGACCCCGTGAAACGGACCATAAAATGGAGAGCGAGAAAATGGCGAGAATAGGGTTTCGGCTAGTTCGATCCAGCGATTTTTATTCGTGGTCCAGAGGACGAGCGGAAGCATCCTTCGTGGAATCTTTTCCCAGTACCGCTTGGAACGAAAATGGCGTAGAATCGTAAAATGAACGGGACGGCCGTAAAGCGGAAAGAAGATCGGCTGGAAAAAGGCGACGATAATTTCAGCTAATTCGATTAATCGGTTTTTCTCCGGAGCCGCGAGCCTTTCCGTCATACCGCTTGGCTTCGCGATTAAAACCTGTTCGAAGCGTTACTTCGTGCCGGAAAATCACGGGTAACGCGTAAAATGGGCGTAAAATAGGAAGAGGCCGGGAAGAAAATGGCGAAGACGATTTCAGCCGGCGGAGGATACGCGAAGGATTCGGAAGGGAACGGTGCGGGCATCGCGTTCGTCGCATTCCATCGCAGGGTTCTCATCGGAGGAACCTTGGGGCCCACATCCTCGTTAATCGCCGCTTCGGATCCTCGGCGACCGGCGATCGCGTCCCCTAGGATGGCTCGGCGGCAATTTATCGAATCTATTTACGGTACCGACCGAAAATTATACCGATCAAATTCACTTTCCGACCGGACTATTTCCAAACGAGACCGACCGTCGATCGAGATTAATTAATAGCTAGATCGGGTCCGGAGCTTCGTTAGATCCCTCTGTGGCGGGGCTATGGAGCCGGTGGACGGCCGCGTCTCGAGATACGGATCTGCACGGGCAATGTTCGTTAAGCGATCAAGGTCGCGTGGAACAAGAGACCAGTCCAGTCCCCGTAGCCCGTTTAGCCTTCCGCGTATTCCGTTTATCGCTGAATGAGCGTAATGTGGCGTCTCGCACGCGGAAATACCCGTCTACTCTGCTCGCGTCTGTGGGGTACGAGAGGGTACGTATACACCAGGGCACGGATCGAAGGAGGTCCAAGGATCGGAAAGCTTCTCCTAGAGCTTTTCTCTTTTCGACGCGCGCTTCGACTGGACACGCGGAACGGAACGGACACACATCGGACGCGTGTCGTACGCATGTCCGACTATCCGTGTATCTGATGTTTAATAAACGACGGGTCAACTAGAGTCAACCGCGCAGCTGTGTCCGCTGGCTGCCAGCTATTACCTCGATCCATTATCGCTGGTCCGTTTGTGTACGAGCGTTTTTCGTTTCGCGCGCGACGCTCGGTAATTTTTCTCAATTGAAACGTCATCCGCGATACCGAGGAACGACTTTGACGGAAAAGCCGAGGAAACGCAGTTTCCAGGCGACTCCGACGCTGTCGCTCGCTGCTCTCGCTCACGCTCAGTCGTCTCTGTTGTTTTCAGCGCGGAATGACGAGGTAGACAACGCGACTCGAAGCGCCAACTTCCCCGAGGCCCCGGCTGAAAATCTCCACGCAGGTAAGCCCATCCTTCTCTATCGCCTATCTATCGCGACGCGATCGTCGTCGTCGTCGTCGTCGTCGTCGTCGTGGTCCATCGGAGGATCTCGGGGTGCACACCTCTCGGGTATCCCACGGAGCCGTAGGAGGTCGCGCGAAGCTAAACTTCCGTGACATTCTCTGCCGGC